GTGACATCATTTTCTCAATCTACATTTTAAATGTTTTCATTATTGCATTGCATTGATACATATAGTGGGGGTCATTAGATATTTTTAGTTGTAGATGGTCACAATACCTTTATTTTATTTATTTATTCTTATGTGGTACTGAGAATTGAATCTGGTCCTCACACATGCTAGGCAAGTGCTCTGCTCCTGAGTCCTAGCCCTGTCAATGTCACTTTGGCACAATTTCATGTGCAGGAAATCGATTTTGTTCCACTTTAGTTCCCAGTACCTCCCTTTTCCATCCTCTCCTCTCTCCCACTGTTCCTCTTCCTTGTGTCAAGGCACCTGACAGACCATACACTTCAAAAGAAAAAAAAATGACCAAAAGTAAAAAATCAGCAATTCACAAGAGGAGATATCCAACATACCTACAGCAAAGTGGGGAACTTTGAATATGAAATAGCAGATCTATCTTCCCTAGTTCTGCCCCTTTCACCTGACCTATTGGATTGTCCCTAGTTACGTTACAGATAAGGAAGGCCTTTCTCACTATTTTAAAATTCATACAGAATCATTGTGCCTGTCCACTCAGTATATATGTGATCATTCCATATATGTATGTGCTGTGTGACGATCACATCAGGGTAATTATCCTTTCAATCTCCTTAGGTCCTTACTCTAATTCCTTATATTTTTATTTTGTTTTTTGTGTGTGGCATCATTTCATGATTGTTCTTGGGTTTTTGGCTTTTTAAAATTTTTTGAACATGTTATTTTCTTAGACATAATAATTATATAAGTTTATGTGGCATATTGTGATGTTTTGATACACGAAAATATTGCATAATGATCAAAAAAGGGTACCAGAAAAAATGTGAAAATATTTTGCTAGAGCCTTGGAAATAAAAGATAAGGAAGTAGAGAAAAAAGTTATGATTGAATGTTTCTTATCTAAAGATAAACAAACTCCAATATACTTGTGGATTGTGGATGTGAACTCCAGTAAAATGATGAGGAGCAATGCCTACATTGTATCGTGGAAAATCAAGAGGCACAGACCTAAGAGAGACATGAAAATAAGTTGGAAATCTGTTGAAAAGTTGACTTATTAGTGTAAGGAGTGCAGAAGAACTTTCACCAGGATTTTTATGTAAAGCAAGGATTCACAACTCAAAAAGTATGTGATTGTTGAGTCACATCTTTCAGAATGAAAAACCCTGCCAGGAGCCCAATAATAAACACTGGTCTATTGGAAAACATTACAATCTGTAGACCTTCAGAGACTCCCCACAAATACATGTCCGCTTATGTGCTGTGCATATGTAAATGAAACTAGGGACAACATGCAAAATCCGTGAAAAACACTCTAAAGAATTAAAATAAATAGAATGAGAGGGAATACACTCCAACCCTAAGCAAAGGGTCTTAACAATTTGAAATAGAGAGGTCGACGACCATCCCGTTGACTTCACCTTGACAGGTTGTGAAATACTTGCAACATAAAACTCTTTGGAATACTCATCTTCACTTATTAAGTTAGTTCATTATCCGTGTAGATACCCAGAGAGTAAGAAGATTGTGTGAAATATCTATATCATGATTTTCTCCTATAGGAATTTATTTACAGAAATTCCTAAATCTGGATCTTTTTCACCGATATGAACATGTGCTGAAATTTATTCCATTATAATTTTTTTTTAAAATGACCTCCCTCCAGTGCATATCTCTCCATACTTCATACTGGATTTACCCATTCCCCTTCATTGCAAAGTAAGCAGACTTACATTTTACTTTATTTGAACCACTTCATGCCTCCCATCCCTCTTCTAATTGAGATTCCATTACCATAAGTTAATGGTAAACAGTGACACCGTGTTGCTGATTTCTTGGTCACTTTTCATTTTTTGAATCTTATAAATCCATTAATAAATTACTTAAGCTAGCAAGGGACACCACCGTCTCTGGGCTGCAGGCCAGGCTAGTTGGGCTCTCAGGGAACCTCAGGTGAAAGCTCCTGCCTTCATTCTTTTCAGTCCTCTCCTGCAGTGTCTGCTGGGTTCTCAGGCTCACCTGGGCGGCATCTCTGGTGGGAAGGTCTTCATGCATAAGCTTCAGTTCTTCCCTGGATGCTGAAGATGCAGAGTGAGGCTCTGACCCCAGACAAGAGAACAGAAATGGGTCCAGCTTTGGTCCTCAAGTAACCTGACGAATCAAGTGTGCCCTAAGGTGTGCACTCAGAAAGGGCAGGAGCAATCACAGCCTACAGCTTTCTCTATCTGCTCATTAGGCACATGTCCTTCTTTTTATTCCAAACTCTAAGCACCTGATTTCCCTGCAGGACTCTGGTTTATAATCAGGAAAAGAAGAGTTTGCATAGATCCCCTGAGATCAGAGTGGCATGCTATTAATCTGCCCCCTTTTACCACCAATCTATGACCTCACCTTCCCGATGTCCCACCACCCATCACCACATCCACCCTTTGTGTTCCAATTTTCTTCCCATGTCTAAAACTAAGAAACCTGCCCTGGTTAGATATCTTGTGCCCTCAAAACACTGACTCACATTGGGGACACAGTCTCTGGCATCTCCAGACATTTTCTCTGTCCCTCTTTAACAGAGGAGTGAGCTGTGTTTTTCTGAAATGTGAAACCACAAGACGGCATCTCTTGCACACATCACACTTTGCTAACAATACCAGAAATTTCATGCTGGTAATGAACATACATTTTTATAATGAGGGACCAAATATTGATTCTTGATTTTGGTTGTGAGTATGAGTTTGAAGAAATAAAGACCTTGAATGCTAGAAACTAACTACCCTGCTATGTTATTGATGAGGTTGCCTGAACAGAGGAACTCAGGACTCTGGCAAGATCTCAGAAGAGTGTGGGGTTCCCATGTGTGTGCAGAAGAGAGGCAGTAGGAGAGGTTCTTAAGTAATAAAAGCCACAGTGTAAATCACACTTCCACCTGTACCGTCTCCCCTCTTCTCTACACAGCAGAGAGTGAGAGCAATGAAACGTCAGATGCCAGCATTTATTTATTGTCCCAAATCTGTTTATTTCAATATCCAACATTTTTACCCCAATCTGAAAGCAAACTTCACCACACTCTTCTGTACATTTTATGTCTGGACTGACAGAAAGCCACAGCCCATTGTCAACAAGTCAGTGTTCTCTTTCTTTTACCTGCTCTTGTTTGAAGAAAGCACACAGAGTAATTTTAAGCACAGGATGCACCATGACAGCAATGACAGCTAACAGTCACATGGGACAAAGTTAACAGCAGTCACGGGTTCAAGAGGAAAGGGAACCACATCAAATTGTGAACAGTTTATAAACGGCTTCCTCAGATGTCCCATCACTTTTTTATTTATAATTTTAATTTAAATTTTAATTAGAGAAAATTGTAAATTAATGGGCAGTAGTAAAAACTGACAGAGAGAGATCCAAGGCCCTTTTCATGAGCTTCCATCATGGTAACACTGAGCAAAATATCACAGCCAGGGTGCTTACAGTAATAACAAGGAAATGAAGTCACAGCAAAGAGAATCATCCATGGCCATGTTTATTGTAGCATCATTCACAAGAGCTATACTATGAAGTCACCTAAGTGCCCATCAATGATGAGAGGAGGAAAGAAATGTGGCATATAAACAACTTGAACACATTCACTCATATGTAAGGATGAAATCCTGTTATTTGGGGGCAATGTGGATGGACCTAGAGGATATTGTGCTAAGTGAAGAAGGCAGATACCAAAAGACAAGTACTTCATGGTGTCTCAAGAGGAGGTTTTTTTTTAAAAAAAAGTAAAATGTCACCCTGAACATAGGATAGAGATTAATAGACATTGGAAAGGTGTTGGGGAGGGTGGATAAAGGGAGGCTGGATTTGATCAGTGCTCACTGTGGGCAGATGTGGAAATATCATGCTTAACCTAATATTTACAATAATTTATGATATTCAAAATAAAATACAGAATAGCTACCATCAGTCAAGTGTCCTGAATTTGCCCTATTATAGCCCCATTTACTCCCTTCCCTGATCAGAGCCTGGACCTTCAAACCAGTAACCTATTCACCACTTATATATTGCTATCATTTCAAAAGTGGTGTCTAGCACATAGAAACATGTGCCTGGGAAAACAGCGGAGTAGGTACCTCTGGGGACCTGTTTTGCCCATGACAATGTTAGGCACTGTGGAACCCATGCTGAAAAAGAAACAGGATCCAAAATTTGAGAATAAGACCTAATGACCAGTAACATCATGGTATGTTAAAGGCTACCTTATGAAGATTGGAAATGCTGGAAGTAATACAAGAAAAAAAATGAACATACAATTGAAAATTTATTCTCTGTCGGGCATGGTGGTGCATGCGAGTAATCCCAGTGACTCAGCAGGCTGAGGCAGGAGGATCAAAGATGAAGGTCAGCCTCCACAATTTAGTGAGGCCCTAAGTAATTAGCAAACACAATCTCAAACAAAAACCAGAAATGTCCATGGATATGACTCAGTGGTTAAGCACCCTTGGGTTCAATCCATAGTAATAATTTTTTTAAGATTTACCTCCACAATAAATTATGAAAACAGCCGTATTTGATAAATATTTTCACAAATGAATATAAATTATGACTATTTTCAGCAAAATAAATAATTAAATATCATGACATATGTCATTTGTGATTAACTTATTTCTAAAATTATAACTCATCGAACACATGAGAATTCTCAAGATTTTCTCATCCAAAGATGGGAATATTTTGAGAAAGTTTAGAAGTGACAAATGAAAAGGACTAAATTTCATAGAGATCAGAATGTGCAAAAAAAATAATGACTCAGTGGAATTGTATGAGGAACTCGAAATCAAAGAAATTGAAATGCAGGAATAAAGGAGAAGGAGCAAGTTCTGCTTCCAGAATCTGATAAAGAAACCCAGATTCTGACTCAGAGGCTCTGAGCCCTGCAATCAGGGGCACTTATTCAGTCTCAAAACAATTGACACTTTTATCTTTCTCTCTCAAAATCTTCTCAGAGCCCTCTTAATGTCCTTGTTCCTCAGACTGTAGATGAAGGGGTTCAGCATGGGGGTGACCACACTGTACATCACTGAGGCTGTTGCAGTAGAGTGTGAGATTTGGGTCACAGCAGAACTGAGGTACACACCTAGACTTATGCCATAAAATAAGAAGACCACAGAGAGGTGAGATGCACAGGTGGAGAAGGCTTTGTACTTGCTCTGAGCTGATGAGATTGCATGGATGGAGGACACAATCTTCCAGTAAGAGTAAAGGATACCAATGAGGGGGCCACCAGCCAGCAAGACAGCACCAAAATATGTCACCACATCATTGAGAAAGGTGTCAGAGCAGGCACACTGAACCACCTGGTTAAGTTCACAGAAAAAATGTGGGATTTCCAAGTCTGTGCAGAAGGACAGGCACAACACCATTAAGCTTTGCAAAATTGCATGTAAAAAACACACAACCCAGGACAATAGAACTAGCAATCCACAGAGCCTGTGTTTCATGATGACCATGTTGTGCAGGGGAAGACAGATGACCATATACCGGTCATAGGCCATCACAGTCAAAAGGAAGTCATCCAACACAAGAAAGAGTACAAAAAAGTGAATCTGGGTGATGCAGCCTGTGTAAGAAATGGCCTTGCTCTGGGTCTGGATGTTCACCAGCATCTTGGAGACGATGTTGTATGTGAAGCAGATGTCCACAAAGGACAGGTCGGAGAGGAAGAAGTACATGGGCGTGTGCAGGTGGGAGTCTGAGATGACATCCAGGATGATGAGCAGGTTCCCCAGCACAGTGACCATGTATATGGAGAGAAAAAAGGCCCAAACATGAGGGGCTGCAGTTCTGTGTCCTCTGCATGTCCCAGAAGAAGGAATTTTAAACATTCAGTATCGTTCCCTGGTTCCACATGCATGTGATTCCTAGAAATGAGAAAAAGAGTGTAGCTAGTTTTCCCATAGACAGATATTTCTCACATCATTGAAAGGAAACAATACATATTTTGCTGTAAAGAAATTAATTTTAGGAATGGGTGTGTAGCTCAGTGGAGGAGTGCTTGTCTAATATATGCAAGGCCCAGGATTCCATCATTAGCCCCACAATAAACAAAAAGAAAAAAAAAGGAATGGAAAGTAATTAGCTTCTATAGAACATGTATGTATTGTGTTCCCCTAAGGGATGCTGTGCCATCTCTGACGATGAATTCCTCTTTTCAGAGTTTTATTAGGAAATCATGTATTTTAGAATTCTAAAGGGAAAATTAATAGTGCCTTTGAGAAGTATAAAAGGAGCACCCCTGATGTGCACTCTGGTGGTTCCTGTAACTTGGCTACAGTGAATATTGCATCAGTAAATATGGAAGGACAGATATCTCCTACCACACCTATTTATTTCCTCTGACTATATACCCAATACTGTGATTGCTGCATCATGCGATAACTGTATTTTAATTTTCATGGAACTTTTGAATCATTTTCAATAATGGCTTCATGAATTTGCATTCCAAACAGCTTTGGGTAAGGAGTTTTTTTTTTCCTCCACATAATCACTGGCCCTTGTTATCTTTGGTCATTTTATAATAGCACTTCTAACTGGAATGAGAAAATATTCTCTGGCAGTCTTGATTAGCATTTCCCTGATAATTGGCAACTGAGCATTTTTCATATGGCTATTGGCCATTTGTATGTGTATAGTACACAGTGGAATAATACTCAGCTGTTGATAAAAGATTGAATCCTCTCATTGGGGACAACCTGGATGAATCTGGGGGACATTATGTGAACTGAAATAAGCCAGGTACAGGGACACTAAAGTTGCATGACATCATCCATAGGCTGATTCTGTAAAAGCTGATGTCATAGAAGTGCAGCAGAGCAAGATGGTCACCAGAAGCTGAGGAGCATGGTGGGGAAGAAGCTTCTCAAGGCGAGTAAACACACAATTAGATAAGAGGAATGACTTCTGCAGTTGTACTGCACTGTAGGGAATTATACTTAACAACAATATATTACATATTTTAAAATAGTTAGAGCAGATGATTCAAAATGTTCCATCACAGAGAAATGATAAATGTTTCAGGTGATTAACTAATTACCATTGTGCAATTATTACACAATTTATAAATGCATGGAAATATAAGGTTATACTAATAAAGTTGTGTAATTACATGTTATTAAATATAAAGCAATAACTAAATATTGAGTACCAACTCCATTCCAGGCATTGTATCAGTAATCTGTATGAGGTTAAAAAAAAGTCCCCATTATCCAAAGACAGGGAAAGAACATAAGCAAAAATGGTTAAAATCACTTAATATCTATGGTGATGGGTACTAAGAGGAAAAAGAAAGAATAGAGAGGACGTTGTACTTTTATAGCAATGCAGGAAAAACCAGCAGGAAGAGGGGCATCCAAACAGAGATAACAAGGAAGGCAGGGCAGGAGCCACAAGTCATCCTCAGTGGTGTGGTCTTCACTGGGGGGACAGTCATTCCTGAGGAACATGCTCGTTTTGGAAAACCAAGTCTTAAAAGAAAGCCCTTGGCCACAGAAGGATCAAGTAGGAGAGTGATAAGATGGTGTCAGAGAATGCTGAGGAATGATCTGGCCTCATTGATCTCTGAGGCTACAAGGTATAGGGAGTCCTTCATCCACACCCTGAACCTCTTACCCCCTTAAATGTGCTGCAATCACATTCTGTGAATTGCAAAGGATTCCTTCCTTGCTACCACCTAAGTGTTAAGTTCTGACCTCTAGCTGCTAAGAGTCACCCTGCAATGTGTAAGCTCAGGTACCCCTTCTCTGAGCCCTCCAGAAGGTAAATAAACACACACAAACACACACACACACACACACACAGGAACACACAACACACCCTGGGTTCATGTCTTATTTCTGCCATGGCACTCAGCCCCAATCACCCTGACAAGGCTTTGGTGTCAACACCACAGCTGAGATGATCAGTTCCCTACAGAATGTGGACAGGGCACCTGGAGAGTCCACTTGACACACTTTCCATGAACACATGAGCAGACCCACTTAAGAATGCTGCTCCTCTTCCCTGTGTTTAAAAAGGAGCATGAAAATCTGTGCAGTCAACAGAGGGAGGAAGAGAAATAGAGAAGGATGGGGAGAAAGAGAAGGAGAGAGAAGGCAAAGGGGTGGACAGAACATGAAGAGGTGAGGGCAGACATCAAGCTGACGTGGATCCAGGGGAACAGGACCTTGCAAGCCCAGGTGTCTCTTCTCCAGGAGGAAAAGGCTTCCTTGGTCCTGGCAGCGTTCCAAACCCAGTGAACCTCGCTGAGTGCCCAGCACAAACCATAAACAATAAAAGTATGTTTTCTAAAAGACCAAAGTAGTAACTGTTTTTTTAACCTAGTTTTAAAATGTTTTTATTATTGCATTGCAGTGATACATACAGTTGGGGCTATTTTTTGAAAGTATTTTTATCTGTAGGTGAACACAATACCTGCATTCTATATACTTATTTTTTGTGGTGTTTAGGATCCAACCCAGTGCCTCACACCTGCCAGGCAAGAACGCTGCCCCTGAGCCCCAGCCCCAGCCCTGTTGGGGTCATTTTGCCACAATCTCACATGCAGGGAATGTGTTTTGCTCCCCTTCAGTCCCCAGTACTTTCCCTCCTTCCCCTCTTCCCTCCCACTCTTCCTCTTCCTCATGTCAAGGTGTCTGACAGTCCATACACATTAGAAAAAAAATTATCAAAGGTGAAAAATCAACAATTGTAGGAGATATTCAAAGTACCTACAGCAAACTGGGGAACTTTCAATAGGAAACAGCAGATCTGTCTTCCTGTTGCTGTTCCTTTCACATGACCATTGAGTTTTCCCTAGATTCACAGCAGATACAGCAGGCCTCTTTCTTCCTGTTTTAAAATTCACACAGCATCATTGTGCCTGTTCACTGAGTCTATAGGTGATAATTCAATATTTTTGTGTGCTGGGTGATGATCAAATCAGATAAGGAGCTTTCAATCTCCTTAATCACTGACCATTTTGTTGATTCCATTTTTTTTTTTTTGTATGTAACATCAATTCCTGGTTGATCTTAGTTGTTTTTTTTTTAATTTTCTGATAGTGTTATTTTGTTAGACACCTAATAACTGTATAGATTTATTGGGTATATTGTGATGTTTTGATACATGAATATATTTTATAGTGCTCAGATCTGGGTACTAGGAATAAAATGTAGAAATAAATTGCTAGACTCTTAGAAATAAAAGATCGGGAAGTCAGATATAATGTTATGATTTATATAAAGAAAAATAAATTCAAATTTACTTGTGGATGAGGGACATGATCTTTAGTGAAATGATGAAGAGGAACACTTTCCAACAGCCGGCCAAAGGTGACATGGCTTTTGGAAATACACCTGTGTCAAAGTGTGGAAAATCAAGAGGCACAGAGACATAAGAGAGATATGAAAATAATTTGGGAATACATAGAAAAGTTGACTTATTAGTGCAGAAGAACTTTTACCAGCATTTTTGATAAAGTGGGGATTCATAAGAAGAAATATCACATTGTTGAGTCAGATCCTTCAGAATGAAGAGCCCTGGTAGGAGCCCAATAACAAACACTCATCTATTGGAAGACATTAAAATCTGTAGACTTTCAGACACTCCCCACAGATACATCTCCACATAGGTTCTGTGTTCATGGAAAAGGAACATGTACAACATCAAAATCAGTGGAAAACATTCTGTTTGAAAGAATAAAATGCCAAAATAAAAAAGAAAGAAAAAAATGGGAAGGGGTACCCTCCAATTCAAAGCAAAGTGTTTTAAAATTCTGAAATAGAGAAGTCAACATCTTTCCAATGCACTTACTTGACAGGTTATGAAATAATTATAATATAAAACTCTTTAGCATACTTATTTTTCACTTAAGGAAATTTATTTTTCATGTGGATATTACCAAGAGTGGAAGAAGATTCAGTGATATATCTATTTAAGAGTTTCTGATGCAGAGATTTATTTACAAAAAAAATCCTAAATCTGGAACTTTCTCACACATATTTAAAATGTGCTAAAATATGCATCATTGTAACTTTTTTAAAAGGATCTCCCACCAGTGTACATCCCTCTGCTGTTCACTCTGGATTTTCCATTCCCCTTCCTTGCAAAGGTACTCAGACTTACATTTACTGTGATTCGAACCTTCATACCTACCATCCATCTTCTAAATGAGCTTATGCTACTGTAAGTTGATGGTCAACAATGACCTGTGTTGCTGATTTCTGGGACATTTTTAGTATCTTATAAATCCATTAATAAATCAATTAAGCTAGCAACAGACACCACCATCTCTGGGCTGCAGGCCAGGCTAGTTTGGCTCTCAGGTGAAAGCTCTGATTCCTTCTCTTCAGTCCTCTCCTGGGTCTTCAGGCTCACCTGGCAGCATCTCTGATGGGAGGGTCTTCATAAACATGCATCAGTTCTTCCCTGGATGTTGAAAGGTGCAGAGTGAGGCTCTGACCCCAGACAAGAGAACAGGAATGGGTCCAGCTTTGGTCCTCAGGTCAGATTTGAAGATCCTGAATAAGGAATTAAGTCCCAAGTGCATGCACTCAGGGAGAGCAGGAGCAATCACAGCCTACACCTTTCTCTATCTGCTCATTAGGCACATGTCCTTCTTTTTACTCCAACCTCTAAGCACCTGGTTTCCCTGCAGGACTGTGGTCTATACAGGCAAGAAACAGTTCCCATGGAT